TCATTTCTCATTATTAGCTCGCGAAAACCACCATGGATATCAAATGTTAGTTCTATATTATTTGATAGTAGAAATTTTGCAATGATTAAAAATCTTTGATTTCTACATTTGCTTTATATAATTATGATTAGAAATATAAAAGCCTGAAATGAATGGCATAATATAGATATCTAAAATCATGTATTTCTTATTAATATATCTGCCACGATGAAAACTAATCAAACACTGTATCATAACTTTATTGAAATTTGCAGAGTTGGGCACTACCGTGAATACATGTATCTAAGATACAAGATACAATATCCTTTTATATCTTGTACTAAGTATCTTTTTGACATTTTTAATTAGATACTTATATCAGTATCTAAGATCCTTTATTTTGTAAATATTCTTGTATCTTTTTTATTTTCTTGACAAAAAACAGATAAAGATTCTTTCTAATATTACAAAATTTACATGTCATACTTATTTTCTTTGGGAATCTTGTATTAATTTCCTTATTTTTTCGCCATATTTTAAATATATTGACAACCAAAATTAGCTGAAAATTTACAACTCATATTAAGACAGATAGATAAAAAAAAATAACAACACCAAAACGAATTAAGTAAAGATTATATTTTACTTATATATGTAACTCGATAGAATATCATTATTAATTTTATGTAATATTTTTTAATTCATAGGATGATTAACACTCATGGTAGTGAACAAGAAGGTAGTGAAATTTCAATGATGGAATTAAGTTCCCCTGAATCAAATCAATCTTAAAATTTTAGATGGAGATTTTTTTAAATAAAAATTAAAAAGGGCAATGTACAGGCTGAATGTAATACCTATGATGATAAAGAGTTCAACACAAATTTTGTTAAACATATTAAAGTATATTATTTATATGTGGTTAAAAGGTGTTGAGATGTCCTGATTGATTTTTTTAAATATTTTTATTGCTATCTATTAACTCAACATTAACCTTACGGATTGATTTTTTTTATTCTTTATATTAACTTATTATTAACCTTAAGGACTCATTTATAATATTAACTCAATAGTTTGATTGTATTAATTATTAAATTGATATTTTATATAAATTGATTTTAAAAAACTATATTAGCATGAAAATATAGGTTATCTTAAAAATTTATGTTTAAATATTGTCTACTTTAATTAAAAGCTGCCAAGATGGTATGAGAATGTTGATTAGTCTTATTTGAATATTATTTATTTTTAAAATATATTAACGTTATATCATTTGAATTTCTTATATTTTTTAAGTTGATTGTTTAATATGTTCAAATTAACTTTTTTTATATATATACTATGTTTTTAGATATAAAGAAATAATAATAAATTTGATAAAGAATTAATTTAAATAGTTTCTTTTATGGTGCCCCGGTTACGGTGGTACGTTTTTTCGTTTTTCTTTCTCTTTAAAAAAAATAAATAAAACAAAGTAAAATAATAAAAGTTTAAAATATCCTTACCTTGAATTCTTTTGTAAAAATAAAAGGTAAAGAAATTACTTATCAAATTCGTCATTCGATATGGGAGATGATAAAAGGCCATATAAAATTTTTTTTTTTAACTTTTCTTTTCGATAGTCAAAATTTTATCCAAATTTACAAAATTATAAAAGGTAAAAAAAAAAAAAATTTATTTAGAATATATATAACTTGTTAACTTCTTGTTTCTTTTATGGCGCCCTGTTACGTTTTTGTAAAAAAAAAAAGAATAAAATATAGAAAATTTGCCTAAAATTAAAATAAAAAAGTATAAATTAAATTAAATTTGAAATTGATGACTACCTTATTTATTGATATGACTACCTATTGTGACGATTGCTTAATCCATTGAGATGACTCTATTTATATGACTACCTATTGTGACGATTGTTTAATCCATTGAGATGACTCTATTTATATGACTACCTATTGTGACGATTGTTTAATCCATTGAGATGACTCGATTTATATGACTATCTATTGTGACGATTGCTTAATCCATTGAGATGACTCTATTTATATGACTACCTATTGTGATGACTATCTAACCTATGGAGACTGCTTAACCTATGGAGATGACTACCTATTATGATTACCTTATCTATTGTGACTACCTAATCTACTGAGATGACTATCTAACCTATGGAGACTGCGTAACCTATGGAGATGACTATCTATTATGACTACCTTATTTATTGTGACTGCCTAATCTATTGATATGACCAATGCCTAATCTATGGAGATGTTAGCACGTTCTTTCATGCAAAAAGCTTCTTTCTTCATGGTGTCCCGGCTCTGGATGTTGGACTGGAATATGATAACCAGCACCTAACCTAATGTGACAACCTAGGAAGAACTGATATGGAAGTTGAACGATAGGTTATGAATTCTATTTTGTGAGACCAATGATGATTACTTATTATTCTAATCCACGTAAGAAGAAAAGTTATTAAAAATTAAAATTTTATGCCAGGATAAAGACATGTTATAAATTTTTAAAATCACTAAAATGTAAAATCATAATGGATATATTTGAACACACAAAAAGCCTTTAAAAAATTATTTACTTAAATTCTTAGTGAAATATTATTTTTGATTTCTTGAATGATGACCAATTGTTGTAAATTAACAACTAATCCTAAAAATGAATTCTTAGATATAATTAAATATAAACCATTATAAATCCTAAACAAGAAGATAAAACTTTAATTTTAAATATATTAAAGTGTAATTAAAACATATGAATTAAAAGGGATTGATTTAAATAACCCTTATAAGTAATACTTAATATGATAAAAATGTTTTTGAAAAAGCTTTGAAGACAAAAGGTTATGTAAAAATTAAACATCATTATTTTAGAAAAATATTGTGTGAAATTTAAATTTTTTTAAGAGAGGGAAATGTGCATAATATTTGCATATTTTAACCTCGGAGATTGAAAATAAATAAAAATAAATTAAATATTAAAACGCTACTAATTAAATATTGAACGCTAAAAATATAAAACGCATAAAACGCTAAAAGTATAAAACGCTATGATTAACCTAACACCTAAAAAATAATATAATAATCGTTATGATTTATCATTCCTTATTCTGGATTAAAATTTTATTCCTTATTCCATAAATTATCATTCCTTATTACATATTTTTCCGAAATTCAAAATTTTATTCGTGCATATTATTCATATATTTGATTTGATCAACTATTCCAAATTACATATTCCGATTTATTCCAAATTCCAATACTCGACTGGATTAATGATAATAACAATTTTGAGAAATGTGAACAACATACGATAAGGATATCAAGCCTACAAAAAACGTACAAACTCTAATAAACGATTTTATCAAACCTACGTAATAGAATCAAGCCTACGAGAACATTTGAGACTTATGCGCTAACCAAGATGAAACCTAGTACAATCGAAACAGGAAAAACTTCTAGGACAACAAGCTCTCGATGACTGCTGAGAAGAAGCTTTGTTCTTTGTAGAAGAGGGGGAATGTTGATTAGTCTTATTTGAATATTATTTATTTTTAAAATATATTAACGTTATATCATTTGAATATCTTATATTATTTAAGTTGATTGTTTAATATGTTCAAATTAACTTTTTTTATATATATACTATGTTTTTAGATATAAAGAAATAATAATAAATTTGATTTAAAAAAGAATTAATTTAAATAGTTTATTTTAGAGAAAAAGAAAGAAAATATTTTCCTACGATATGAATATTTGCTTTTTTGGCATCAAATCATATCTATATTTTAAGAACTTATGGATTGAGTCTGATGATAAAAAAAATACTTTCAAAATAAATTATTAAGAAGCCCTAAATGTAGTACCTGAGTATATAGCACCAATAGATTTAACTCTAATAAATAAAATAAAATGATGCTTATTTTTCTTTTGGTGAGCAAATTTTGCTGAGTTCAATACTACAAATAAAATTAAATTGGAGGTTTTAAATTATATTAAAGAATATTTTCCTTCCATTAATTTTTTTTTAAACCAATTGAAAGCTTATTTAGTTTTGGCACAATGTTAAGTACGCCGAAACGGCAAAGATCAAATGATAAATTATTTGAAAAATCTGATTATCTTATAAAATAATGGATCTATTTTAGATATTCTTTTGCAAATTAAACTCTCATTAAAAATACTAATCTCCCTTCCATATTTATGCTAAGAATTGGCTAATACTTATATTAAAAAGTCTGATTACTATAATTAATACTAAATATTTTATTAATTATTGTAAATATTAATTTTTATTATATGGGTATGTTATGTTCTTCGCAATAAATAATAAAAACTATATTTTAATTTGGTAATGATAATTTAATAGTATCTTGTATTTAAGATACTCTAATTTAACAAAAGATACAAGTATCTTTTATCTTGTATCTTTTTGATATTTTGAAAAGATAGTTATCTAAGATTCATTTTTTTATAGGGAATCTGTATCTGTATCTAGATTCTTGGAGGACCTGCCCAACTCTGAAAATTTGAAATAAATATGTACCTTTCTTTCTATAAGCCTTGATTAATATACAAGTCAAAATAATAAATAATTTAAATAATAAATAAATAAAATTTGAAATAAATGGCAAATAAATGGAAAATAAATAAAATAAACCAGTCAACTTAAGTTATATAAAATTAAAATAAGAAATTTATTATGTTAAACCAACTAAGATGTGATTTGAATAAAAAGGCGTTATAAATTAAAAAATAAATTAGAATATAACATATTTTTATTATAAACTTAACTTTTGAATGCTAATATGATATTCTGACCTTTAAATAAAAAATGTTAAACCATTATAATCGACCTGTTCACATAAGTAGTCAATACATGTTTATAATACCACTTTATATGGAATTGTAATTGAGATATAAAAATTTTAAAATGGGCCAGCCATGTCTACCTAAAAAAAATGATATTTTAATTCACTTTGGTTATTGTTTAGTAAAATATCTTATATCCAGAGTGAAATAGAAACAATTATTTTAATCATTTAAAACAAAGATGCCTATTTCCAAAAAACGTGAGAAAAGGGGTAAAGGAAAAGCTTATAGGAAACAAAAAGATCCTGATTTTAAAAAACTTGAAGGTAGTAAATATAATTAATGATTATTACTTATTGATTTTTAAAAGTAAATGGAAAGAAAAAACGCATTAAAATTCCAGTTATATCAAAGTAATTAATGCATATTTTACGTTTGTTTATAAATCGTCTAGAAACATATCAACACAAGTAGAACTCTCATTAGATTCACCAATAAAGAGTATTTTGGTCAAAGATAGCAAATTAAAAAAGATCAAAAGTTAGATTAAAACTTTTCAGTTATAAATTTTTATTATAGGTAAAAAGGAAACTAAAATTGATAAGGATGCGGAAATTATTTTAATTAAAAAAGTGAAATTTAAAATAGAACCTAAAAAGGTATTATATATTGAATATAATAGTTTTCAGTATTTTAATAGAAGAAAAAGAAGTCCAATAAATTAACTGATAGTATATCTCAAACAGATAAACAAGTGAAATTTTCTTGATAAAATTTAATCATCACATATTTTAGTGTGACATGGATATAGAGATTGATGAAAATAATATAGAAATATATGAAAATGATATAGAAAATAAATTCATTAGGTATAAATTTTTAACATAATATTATCATTATTAAAATATACTGACTTGTAATTATAATGTATTTTTTAAATATATTAATATACACCAGAGACCTGCAGAGGTATTTTTTACACAGCCCAGCCCTTATTATTTTTATTAAATTTGCCCCAGCCTGAATATTTTTTTAAAAAATTTTTTTATGCCTAGCCCTGGTATATTTTAGGGTTGTGCCTGCAGGTCTCTGATATACATGTTGATTAACTTAAATATTAAAACAGTGATTTGTTATAAAATCTTATATATATATGTATTTTTTTAAACCAGTGATACAGATTTGTTGGAAGGTAATATGCTTGCCATAAATGTGAAACATGCCATTAAAAATTGTACTAATATAGGATTACTATCAAATTCTTCTGCTATTGATGGTGATGAGGAGGAGGATTTAGGAGAAAATGAGTTTGAGAAGTTTAGTATAGCTAAACTTGAGAATGAATCACCAGATACATGGTTACAAGAGGAAGATGAAAAATCTCTAAGCATGGATTTAAATGAGCTGAAGACTAAAGTTGAAGGAATTGTTAATGTACTTAATAATTTCAATAGAATGAAGGCAGAAATTAAAAAGTAATAATATATATTTTATTCCTGTTATTTATAATTTGCAGATAGCCCATCAGGAATGATGGGTGTATAATCAGTTTCTTTCCTATCTTATGAGTTGTGAGTAGGAATATAAATTTCTTGGAAAACTATGATTAAGGGGAATTCGAGGAAAAAACAGGAAATTTCCTTTTAATAAATATTTTACAAGTCAACACTGATTTTTTTCAAGTTTTATTAAAAAACTATTGACTATTAGCATATTATTTAAACAAGTGTTAATTTCAATTAATTTGTTCTTTATCTTTTGAAAGTGAACATGATTCCAGATCAAAGCCTGATAATCTATAGTCACACCTTCAAAAAATGTTTATAACTATGAATAAAATTTTTTTAATAATTAATTTAATGTAAATCCATATATTTTTTAACACAACATGTTAGCCAGGTTTATTTTATATCTATATAATATATATTATAATTTTTTACTTTATGATCTATTATAATAATTAATAAGCCTACATTCTAAAATTATTTATTAACAGCTTACTTTAAGATATTATATAATATTATAAATATTACCAAGTATCTCTTTAAATTTCAATTTGAAGATTTTGAAATTGGTATACTTTTTGGACATATTTTACATTTGGTATGGATAGAATTAGTTTTTTATTATATTTGGGTCATGATTATGTTAATTCAGAATCAGTTGATAATGTTGAAATAACAACCTACATGCTTACGGGCCAGCTGCCACTTGAGGGCCACTATTTTTTAATAATAAAACAAATAATTAAGCATTCATAGAAATTTTCTGATATTTTTATTAATGTAAAAAGAAATTCGCGGACTATCGGGCAGTAGCTCTGACCTCCTGTGTATCGAAGGTCTTTATGACACTAATCAAGAATAGGATCTTAACTTCTACACCCTTTCTTCTTTCTAAATATATCTGTGCATATAGGCCAAATAAAAACATTTTGGAACCTATTTTATCGCTGAAAATAATTATGCAAAAGTGCTGGAAATATAGGATTCCGTCTTATTACACTTTTATTGATTTCAGTAGGGCCTTTGATAATGTAGACCATAACGCCTTATGGGTAGCACTATCAGAGTGTGGTATCGAACAAAATATTATCTCCATCTTAAGGAATCATTATTCCAAATTAACTTCATGTTTTAAAACAAACGATAAAATATCACCCTTCTTCAAGATAAAAAAGGGAGTAAAACAAGGTTGTACTTTATCACCACTTCTCTTTAACATCATAATAAATAAAGTCATAAAGGAGGTAAATGCTGCTGCAGACTTGGCTGACTTTGGGTCTAATGAAAATTTTCACTTTGTTAATAAGATCGTTTCGTATGCCGACGATATTGTTGTAATATCAAAAAATATTGAAGAGACTGTATGTCTGATATACCTTATCGAAACCATAAGCCTCAGAGGTTTAAAAATTAATTTCAATAAAACGGTTATTCTTTCCTCGCCAAATACACCACCGCTCCAAAATCTTTTGGTAGGCGGGAATGTTATCAAAAAAGTAGATAATATCAAATACCTGGGTGTGATGCTCAATAATAAGGGGGAATGTAAAGAGGAAATGAAGATTAGAACGCAAAAAGCCAAAAGAGCGTTCTATATGTACATGAAAATCTGGAAGTCTAAGGAAATATCGGTTTTTACGAGGTTGAGGCTTTTTAACTCTACTATTATCCCCATTTTATTATATGGAAGTGACATATGGGAAGTTAACAAGACGGACTTAAGACGTATCCAATCCTTTATAAATAATTGTCTGAGAACTATAAATGGTATTTTTTATCTCAGAGTCATCTCTAACTCTAACCTCTGGAGGAAATCTAGCCACACTCCGATAAATATTACGTTAAAAAAACGTCGGATACAGTTCCTAGCCCATATAATAAGAAATTCAGATCACAACCTTGTACATGATGCTATCGTTTGGTTATATACACATAAAGGGAAACAGTATACTAAATATAAATCGTTATGGTATTACAAAGCTATAAAAGACATGATGGAGCTGAATGTAAACATGAAACAATTTATAAAGCTTAATAATTGCAAAAGGTCTATCAGAAAACTCTTTCGCATCAAAGATAGATATTTTAGATGAAAATTAAATTTGTTCCTAGAGATCTCTAGTTCAAATACCTTTTTCTTACTTTTCTTCCTCGATTTCTCTTGTGGATTTATTCCTCTTGAAAGTATATTTCTTTTTTACCTCTAAAATAAATAAACTTACAATAAAGCTTTTCAAGTTAAATTTTCCACCTCCCACCTTTAAAGTAATTAACTTTAAAAGTAGTTCTTGGGTGTAGGCTATTTTTTGGTCCCTCTCTTTTCCTCTAAGCCTATAGACGTTTTAATAACATTTCTTCAGAATTGTTGTGCGTACAAGTACATGCGGCTTGCCCACAAACGTGTGGAGGGCTCCTCATATTTTTTTTCCCCCCTTAAATTAATAAATTCCAATTAGATGGAAATGAGGAAAACCTAGTGTTGCTCTGTTGTATATTCAACGTTAGAGGGCGAATGCGCTATATATCACGTAAATAATACTATAATATAATAAGATTTTTTATTTATCCATAAATGAATTAAATAAATTTTATGTTATTTTTTTTCATAAGCCATCAATACTAAATTTTGTTTATGTTGATCTTTCATTGACTCTAATGCTAAATAGAACTCTCTTTATTGTAGAGAAAGAGGCCCCACAAAAAGCCGTTGGTACCTTAATGATGATGGCTGCTGAGTACCATTTATACAATTCTTTAAATGCATGATGATATTTTTTTATACATAATATGGATATTTTCAAAATTATGTATTTCTTTAACTTCTGAGCTAATAATCCTTTAGCTATTTTCATTTCATGATGTAACGTTTTCATATTTAAGTTAAATAATAATTTTAATCAACCATTTTATCCGATATAAAATAATCAGGGTCAAAGGGGGACAATGTATTAAAACATGATAGAAGATTATAGTCATCTTGTGTAAATCTATCTAAAAAACGATCAACACAAACAAAGTAATAATTTCATAATAATTCCTTTTTAAAGAACAATTGGAGTCTTTTTCCAATCAAATTAAAAGTCTCTTAAGACATGATCTGTATATTTACAGGATACTCTAAAATGTCTAAAAAATTATACAATGCATTAGATAAATTTTAAAAAATCAGAAATGATAACAATGTTATACATATAACATATAAAAGGAACTTTTTTATTAAATTTTTCTTATTTGCACTTCTCCATTTTGATCAGATATGACGTTTGCACCATCATATACCTGGCTTATTATATTTGTTGAATTAATATTTAACTCATTAAGTTGCTTTAAAATCTAATCAGTAATGCTTTCAGTAGAAAGAGACTGTAAATTTATAATTCCTATTAAATTTCTTCAGAATACAATATAGCGAATAATTATGCTCAGAGTTTCATAACCTTATGCATCTTTTGTCTCATCAGCCTTAAGACATAAGCCATCTCACTTTTGTTATATTTATCTGAAATATATTCAAGCACCATATCTGCCAAATAGATATTACTTCTTTTTGAATCTGGGGTGATGTATATTGGGCATATTTAGGTATTTCATGATTTTATTTAATCCAGGACCTTTTTGGATGGTGTATGAAACATTGCTACAAATAGTCCAGAAGAATAAATTATGTTTTCATCTTTTGCAGCATCCATAATTTTTGTTGAACCAACCCACGAAAAGGTAGCTGCTGTATGCTAAGAAATAGCATCAAATCAAATATTGATTTAAAATAGTAAAAATTATATTATCACTTTCATTTTTAAAAAACTTCAATGCACAATTATAAAAATAAAACAAAATAATGATAAAAATACTGTTGAATATTAAAATTATAATTGACATACTATATCTATATTCTATATAAAAATATATAATTATAGGAAGAGAAAATAATATATTTAGGTGTGGTTGGCGGGGCTTAATGACCCATGTATGAATATGCAGTTGGATAGACAAATTTCAATTGATATTCTTTGTCTAAGGTAAAATCCCACTTTTGGATCACCTGTGATTAAACATAACCTTATTACGGTTAATTTGTTGGCTTACCAAAATTGTTGATATCTCAGTATATTCTTCATAATTCTAAAATATTCATTGCTGTTTAAAATAACTGGTTATATTATAATAATAATATTGTGATTGAACCATAATAAATAAAATAATTATCATTGAAATTAGTACAATTTAAACATGATTAAGTGCCTATATAATGTCATACACAAACACACATGAAAATGGTAAAATATGAATGAATGATGATTTATTATTGGATAAAAATAAAACAGGATAGAAAGAAATTTACAATCTAGACATGTTTTTTGAATAAATATTTAAAATTTATTTAAAAAATAATATATTACAAAAAAAATTTTAAATTTTATAGGGTGCCAGGTTTAGCAGTAAAAAATTTTTTTTTGGGGGGGGGGGGGGGTATCTGGCCCCCCGTGTGGCTATGGTACTGAATAATATTCAAGTTAATAAACTATATTATAGGACAGAAATAGTGACTGATTAAAAAAATTCAAATGTGATAAAGGAAACACCTAATTAACACTTTTTTATTAAAAAATTTGGATTAATTTTTTTTATATTTTCAAATGAATTAAAACAGAAGATTTTTTAGAAGAGAACGAACTCATTTGTCAAAAAAGGAATACGTTCACTTTCAAAGTTCGTATAAAATTCAAGGAACTTTGTTCACAAGCATATTCATTTAAAAACATTCATAACACATATGTATAATTTTTTTTTAGGCCCCGAAAATTTTTCTTAAGCCTCCTTGTGCAGCATTTAGCCCGACTTTATGGTTATAATCGTTTTCTGATGGAACAATTTGTTAGATTGGTACCATTGGATCAGCTGATTGAATTCTTGGATTGGAATGATAAGGAGAGGCCGATTACCATAAGAGCAAACACATTGAAGATATCAGCTGGAGAATTATTGAGATCTCTTAAACACAAAAAAGGTGGCGTTTTGAAGTGTGATAAACTCACTTTTGGCCAGCTGCAACCATCTACAGGGTAATGTATTTTTTATATAGTTTGATTTATATATAACGAAACATTGAAGGAGAAAAGTAGCTAATCAGTTTTAAAAAAATTATTTTTTATATGGGATTGATTGAGATTAATAGAAATCATGGGCATATTAAAGGGGTTTGACTCCACCCCCTCTCCCCCAAAAGTTTAATATTTAAATGGGACTAACTATATTATCTGAACTATAAAACTTTAAATCAAAATTTAAAATACATCTAGAAAGATCAAAATATGACCATTTTATTTTAGAATATATTTTTCCTTTTTAATTTAAAAAAACTTTTTTAAAATTACTGGATATTATTAAATTAAAAAATATATGTCCTGCCTTCTTCAAAGTAAAATCTAGATACATCACTGATGGAAGTGTCATTCAAAATTAAAAATATGGTATAATTGCTCCTATTTTGAAGTCACTCATTTTATCTTTTAAATTTTACCATTTCATAAGTTTATAATTTTTAGTGTTGTTAACAAAAATTCTCTAACTCCATCTAACTTTCTCTTCTTCATAATCTCTCCCAATGTTGCCTCATTCATATTATTTAAGATATTTTTCCTTTGTTCTATTTTAACAGTGTAATAACCGAACTCAATCTACACTTTTATATTATATATGAGATGAATTCTTCAGTTTTATTAATTATATTCTCATATTTATTTTATACCTATCACTAGCACAGTGTTCCTTTGTTAATTTTATAATTATCTTGTGCTTTGTAGATAATACTTTTTGTTCAAAAGTTATAAAGCACTTTATATATTTTTAAAAGGGAAATTGATTCTAAATCCGCAAAATCCCCCCAATCATCATCATCCATAAAAGAAGACCCTCATTTGATAGTGGTTTACGAGAGTGCCTTTTCTCTTGGAGCAACGCCTGAATACCTTGGTGGTCTTTATGCCATACAAGGCACTGCTAGTGCCTTAGCTGCTTCTGTCCTAGCTCCAGCACCAGGACAGCGTGTGCTTGACCTCTGTGCTGCACCTGGTGGAAAAACCTGTCACTTAGGTATAATACTTTTAATTTATAGTGTTTTATTCACATTTATTGCTATATTTTGTAGAAATTGAGTTTAAGGATAAATACCTTACATTTAGCAGAGACTCACGCCAAACCTGACTTGACCTATTTTATCCTACCTAGGTAGATTTACTTAAAATGAGTTTTTTGAAAAGATTATGTCATATATTTTAGGTATATTTATATGTTTTGATAATCAATTTATTATAATACAATTATATATTATACTAAAAAAAATTACCACAGATCCTTTGGTAGGTTTATGTTTGCAGATTTCTACCATGAGTATCGGTCCATTCTTAATTTTAATAATGATAGGCGGTATGAACAGGTAGAGGGGGGGTGGGGAGTAAGAGGTTGGGATAAGATAAAATATAAGCAAGAATGGACTAAGTCTGAAATATTTTGATCAAACTTGGAATTGAAACTTTAATCAAGCAGTAATATCAAGTTTTATTATCTAAATTAAATTTTAAATGTATATTATAAAATTTGAATAGCTGCCATAATGAAAAACAAAGGCACTATATTTGCGAACGATGTGAACGCCGACCGGGTTAAGGCTATATCTTCGAACTGCAACAGAATGGGAGTAGTCAATACTATAATTACTAACTACGATGGTAGGGAGTATCCTAAAGTAATTTTTTTGTAACATCATATGTATAGGGGTTTTACAAATTATATTTTTGTAAATAAATTATAATAAATTCTTCTTTTTGGTTTAGAGGGAATATCACTGTTTCCCAGATTAAAAAGATTCTTAATCAATCACTTTATAACCCTACTATCTCAGATTTCTCTAAAATTTGTTATATAAGTTAATGAAGTGTTGTGATTGACGAATCCAAAATAACCCCTTGACTAATAGAACTGGAAATATAGGGTCTCAAAATGGCTCTGCTTTGTCATTTTTTTGAAATAAATTATTTTTTAAAATTGGTTTAATATTAGATGCTATATATATATATCTCAGAGACCTGCAGAGGTACCATTTAAACGGCCAGGCCTAGATTTTTTTTAAAAAAAATTTCTCAGGACCTGATTATTTTTTCAAAAATTTTTTAGGCATTGCTCAAATTTTCTAAAAACATATTTTATTTATTTTTAATTTTTATAGTTAATAATGGCGATTTAAAATATGTGGTTTCAAAATATATAGCCCGGCCTTTTTAAAAAAAAATCAGACCTGGCCCAGGTATATTTAAAAAAATTAAAATATGGCCTGGCCCATGTACCCAGGCTTAGGACCGGGCCTGCAGGTCTAATATATCTATTATGGCTCATTTAGCCCTAACTAAACTTGCACCTATTTTGAATAAAATTTATTTTTTTCCCAAATTTGAAATATTTTATAAAGAGTACCAAGAACTGTCAATATAAAAATAAGTGGTAAAAAAATTTAAATAAGAAAAATTCTTTAAATAAAATTGTCACTAGATGGCGTTAATTTTTTTAATAGTTTGATTAGCTAATTATGATTTAAACTAGCTGATGTTAGCCCGTTAAAAATGAGGAGAATCATAATTTTTTATTCAATGATGGATGAATCACAAATTTTCCTATCTTTGAGGTGTGATTTAGACATATATATTTATTTTGATTAGGGATTTTCCATTATTTTTATAAAATATGTGTTAATATAGTATATAGTACCTTTAATTTATGTGCACAATAAAAAATCCTTTAAACTAAATTTTTATTCATATATTTGTAATTTATATAACCCAAAAAATATTTTTTTGCTAGATGAGAGTTTTGCATGACCTATTTTCGATTTAACATTGCCCCACAAAACTCATCTAGCAAGATTATATTTTTTCGATTATAAATTACAAATAAAATGAATAAAAATTTTATTGAAAAATTTTTGCATGCACATAAATTAAGGGTACCAAATATATACTTCATATTACCCTCATCCAAATAAATATAAATTTCTGAATCACTCATAAGATAGGAAAATTTTGATTCCGTGTCATTCTTGACAGGCTATCAGCTAGTTTAATGATATGACATTTTTTTTTTATTTGAGAAATTTTTTATATCATTTGTCGATGAACAAAAATATAATTTATTCATTCATCTATATATATAAGCTTACTCTCGTTATTTATAATAATAAGTATAAGTAGAAGAGGCAAACTCTTTTTTGGAACTCGATAGTATATAAAAGCCCTATTTATATCGAATAATAATTCATTTAATTTTAATTTAAAAACACGGCCTATTCAAGCAGGTCTATCTGAAGGAATTTACCCGAGAAATATATTTTCCTTCATTTTACGTCAACTAGTATTGCATATAAGAGGTATAAACAAATCATGTTTGCCAAATTTGAGCACAATGGCCAATGCATCATGATAACATTCTCGCTTATTTCTTTGAGACCCTTGAGCTTTACCGATAATTATATTTGTTTACCCCCAGAATATTTTTTCTACTCGTAATTTTGTAAAATAAAATTTAAATTATTTCCCTCAACCTGTAAATAGGAATCAACAATATATTGTGATAATTTTCCAGCAAATAGGATTGGGTTAAATTCACACAAATTGCTAATCTTAACATTTTAAACTATAGCAGTGAGATATTTGCCCTTGAACCCTCACCCTTTATATCTGGTTTCCAACCAGGGTTACCAAAAGTAAATAGAGGATGTATCATTGAATCAAGATTAAGACTTAATATATTTATAAGCTCATTGCCATCAACTCGAGGATAGACTTTGATATCCCCTTTAAACGGGAGTTTGCTATCATCGTTTGTAAAAATTATAGCAACTTCATCTATGTTAGGAATATTGTATCTTCACTTGTGCAATTAGCATGAAAGATCACATTTATTTTTTTCTTTTATATTTAACCACCATTATCAGCCGTAGCCTCGGTTCAAACTATTAGAAATCTGTGCATTCATCAATGCAAATAAAAAGGCACTAATATATGAACGGATATCTTTCATAAGGATTTGATAATGGGTCTTATAAAAAAGGGATATATCTGATTGATATCTTAGCTTTAACCTTATGACAGCAATTCTTGAATCTGCCATCTGAGGGTTTTTCCAAAGAAAATATTAAAGAATCACAATCTTTACACTTAAAGTTGAGCATGAGCAGGCCACAATAGTGTACTTTTACCAATGGTTGTTGTGCGTAAATATCTATCTAAAATAAATAATAAAAATTGTAATTAGTACTTTTGTAAATAAAAGTAATAAAGAAGTATGATATTGTTTTTAGTACTTTTTTAAATAACGAGTGGCAGCCCTCCTTTAAAAACTCAGTAGTGGGAGCTAGCTTTTTTTAGCTGGTATGAATGGGTTTGGGAGCTAGCTCCTTTAAAAAAAGCATTAACAACTCTCTCTAGTGTCTTGATAATGAAGATGGTGCCTTTATTTTGCTGGAAGTTAGTCATGAATCATCTGAAATTTAAAAACGGTATTTACTGTTGTGTATGATGAAGTGTCTTTTTATTGATAGTGAAGATCTAGCCTTTATTTTTCATAAAGTTATATATTTAAAAGCGTGTAAATTGAAAGTATAAAATAAAATTTACTACTGATAATGAAGATGGTGTCTTTAAATTTATGTGTAAGATTTAATGCATGCATGGAACATAATTGCATTGGTTTTGGTGTAAAGATTATCAATGGATAAATATTTTTAAAAGAATTCTGTTGGCTACATTTAATTGACATTTTTTGAGGATTATATATAGATTATAAGTTATGTCGCTATATCCGGGTCGCTGGAACATAATACGTGCCTATTTTGTTTATTTCAAAAAAATTAATAAATTTCCCAAAAATTTACTTTTTATTGGAGCCTAAAAACATTTATTATTTTTTCTATGGGTTTGTTGCCCAACATAAAACATGGAAAATTTCATAATTTATGTTATCATCAGGTAGACTTCTCTATCTCAGCAGAATGGTATTTCCTTGCTACTTCACATGGGGAAAGGGCTTGCGATGGAATTTTAAACCCTTGGCTGCACAGGCCAGTTTACAATAACTTATTAAAATCAAATAAAATCTTGCGATTTTTTTAAATTTGCTGATGAAAATATAGAAAATTTTCATTTTTCTTATACATCTGATGAAGAATTCCAAGAGGAGCAAGAACTTTTAAAGTCGGTTTTCTAAAGCTTTTAATTCCTGGAACTCAAAAAATTTCTCACAAATAATTACACAATATATTCCACTGCTGTTCAAACCACGCCTCAAAATATTCAAAATCGAATAGGCTAAATATCAACCAATTATATTAAAGTGTATGTAACATGTTTTTATTATAATGAATAGTTGGTAGCATATATTCTGGCTATTAGTAGTGCTGATGGTAAAGGTAATTATTTTGCCCCTAATGGACCTTCTCAGTCCTTTTATTATCTATCAATACCTGATATTCTTATTCTTTTGAAAATGATATTCCACTGTCATGAATCTTTTGACCACTACAGAAAAATTTATAATTTAATCGTGAAAAATCCAAAATGACACACAAATTAAATTTAAGGAAATCAATATAACTAAGCGCCTATACTTTAAGTATTTTACTATGAATCAATTCTTTAAATATACTTCAACTGACATATTTAAAAAATATAGTTTTTGGCTATTTTAAATTACTTGCACTATTTAGCGGAAATTTTATTTTTGTGCCAAAATGAGATTTTTTTCAATAAATATTATATTATGGTTTATAAAAAATCTAGATTGACTTATATTTTCAAATAATAAAATTTTAAGCTATTTAAAATGATTTATGCCACTTAGCGGTAACTTTTTAAGCATTTTCCCTACTTATTTTTTACCACGCTGAAAATTTTTATGTGAACATATTTTGGTACTCTTTACAAAATATCAAAAATTTGGAAAAAATTAATTTTATTTATTGAAGAGTTTACTAAAAGACCAAGCAAAGCCACATTGAGACCTTATAGCTATGGTTCTAGATCATAACACCTCATTAACTTATATACCAATGAGATGGTCAGATTGTAAAGTGATTGATTTGATATTGAATGACCTTAAAGCAGATTATTAGTGTAGTCACGATATTAACAGAGGAAGGAAATTACAAATATTTTGGAGGGTTTCACCTTCAAACCCTTATTTTACCCAATCTTTAGCTAGGTCCTGCACACATTCTAATTACCATTTTATTAGATATTTCTTTTTTAATGCTTTCATATTTTATTCCCAAAATATATATCTTTATTATGCCTAGACCTGTGCGCCCCTGGTCAAATACACTGTAAAAATGATATTTATTTTATATATTATTTATGAATTGTAATTGGAAGAAAAATATTTTAAATATTTTTTAAATTATTAATGAATGCAATTTTATTTTTTAAAATTAATAAATATTATTTTTGTAATAAAAACATTTGATTTGTAATAAGATGATATGTTATTATTAGGCTAGAAATCTACAGAAAAGATATTGAAATATTATTATATATTTTATTCTTCTAATTTTTGATGTTTCAAATCTTTTGTATAAGACCATCAGTTATTGTATAAGGAGTAATACAATATTTTCATAATGCAATCTACAACTCATCATATAAGACTTATTTTTTATTATAAAAGGAAATTTTAATTAATGATTTTTATTGTATTACCATT